GTAATCCGTTCCACTGAAATCGCTGTTTAGCGAAATCATCATGTAGCAAAAAGCATTTCATTTCCCCATTGGAATGCATTGAAACCTGTTTAATGCATTCCAATGGGGAAGAATCGTCATTGTCTAGCAAAGATCGGCCATAGGAAAGCTTTGCGAACCGCCAATCAGCTGATGAAATAGCTGTCTTGCGCAGCTTAGGTCCTGAAAACACTCATTTTGCAAGCACGGAGGGAGCTGTCAAAATCGTTGTCTAGCGAAAATTGGTTTGCGAAGCAGGGACCAAACATTGTCCAGTAAACTTTCCCACTAGGAATCACTGTTTTGTGAATCGCTATAGTGATAGCAAAAAGTCAATGTCTAGTGAAAAAACTGTCATGCGGGGTAACTGTCTAGCGAGGCACCACTGTATGTATTTAAAAGTGCTTTTATTTCATTTAGCTCTACTGGTACTTCATCTAATCGCATTATATTGTTGTCAATGGGTGAATATTTCTTCATTGCTCTTAATATGCATGGCAGTGTTACTTATGCTGAACTTGGATGCCAGAGCATGACAGGAACGTGGCTTTTTTGACGTCCACTAATTTCATTATGTAGTGGATAAATCAGAATGGGCAGCTCTTGACACCATCATGCTCACAATGTGATTCCTGATTGGCTAGGATTGTGTCACAAAGGAGAAAGAAGGCCGCTTGTTAAGAATAAAAGCGAATCAAACAGAAAATAGGCATAGAAAAGAAGTGAGGGTGTGCATGAATACGCACAGAGCTAGGGACTTGAAATCACCCAGGTTCCATTTTCAATCGTCATGGTTCTATCCTGTGCGATCCTGGTTCTGTAGTTTTGTAAGGTACCCAGAGTACGTTGCTAAAGAGATCTAATGTTAAAGTTCAAGGGAATGCATCAGAACTCTCTAGCAGAGAATTTATCAAACTGCAGATCCTGAGGTGGTGTATGATGGAGCCATGGTACTTCAAAGTGGGCTCAAACGGCTATAATTGTGTTTTGCAGGACACGCTCCAAAAATGCATAGGGCCATAAACAGCTCCTCTTCAGCGAGGATTCCCAGATGTTTACAGCTGCCAAGAAAGGTGTCATTCTGTTTACTAAACTGGAGATTATTTTGCAAAACTCACTGCTGAATGTGGTAAATTTGCAAATGTCATAGATACAAAATTTTGGCTATACATGACTAACTTCCTACCTTGCAACAAGCTTTCTTCCAGCTTGCTCAACAGCAGGTCAGCCTGACAGACCAACTGTTTCATTTCTTTGGCTGCTGTTGTCTTTTGTCAAGCTGCAAACGTACAGGCTGCCTTTACCATCAGTCCATAAATAACCCGGCTGGAGCCATTGGTGTCGGACTCTTGGCGGGAGCTTTGGTCCCTACGCCTTCTTTAGAAAATGACTCATGCCATCAGGGTCATAGACAACGTCATCAGTGGACATCGTTCTGCTTTGGCATTGGCTGTTAGATTTAAATAGCTCTTCCTCTAGTATTATGTGTTGGGGGGGTTTCTAGTGTTTACCCATTTCTTGCTTTTGGTAGACTGTGGGAGGAAAAAAATGGTGGTGGTGGGAGAAAAGGAAGGTAGCCAAAAACACCCCTGGGTGACACATGTGGCCCAAGAACCAGACTTCTCCCACCCTCTGTGCTAGACTGTTCTTTAAAACACTCCGTGTCTCCATTCTGGGTCCCTTCGTCTTTACAGGAATGCATCTCGTGGAGCCTGGAAAAGTGACCTCGCTGAATTTCAACTCGCAAAAAGAGCAGTGCTGCTTGGAGGGCTTTGGAAGTTGGTAGCACCTCATTAATAACATTTCTAGCCTCTGGGGCATCTTCAGCCACTTTTTGGATCCAACCTCCTTCTGAACAGTATTGACACAAGGTCTCCCCCCCTCCTGAGGAGGGAAGAGAAGAGCTTCCACCACTCGACGACAATTCCTGCGGCATCGCAGCCACTACCGCCAGTCCCTCAATAGTTTCTGGTGCAGAAAAGGAAGAAATGGGCAAGGGTTGTTTTTTGGGGGGCGGTGTGCCTCCCCACTGCTGCCCACCTCTGTCACTTGGCCACTCCTTTGCTCAACTCTGCTCATCATGTCTTGGCCTCCAGGTCCTTCACAGAAGGAAGAGCACCCACAACAATTTCCCTGTCATCGACACATTATCATCACAGCTGGCCAAGAAGAGGCTGGGTTACGGGAGCAGACCGTGCAAGAGAAAATAAGAGAAATACTGTAAAGGAATGAGGTCCACTGATGACAGCCGCGTTACCATTGTATATGGCCCTGATGGCACAAGGAATTTTCCAAAGCAGGCATGGGGACCAAAATTCCACCATCTGAAGGTTCCAGCTGCATTATTTATGGACTGAGGGAATTTCCTGGTGGTCTCCCATTTGGCCACTAACCAGGTCCAATCCTGTGTGGCTTCTAAAAATCAGATGAGATCATATGGCAACATGTCCAGTCTCCAGAAAGCATTAGCACCTTGGCAAAGTGTGTCTCTGGCTTTATATCAAGGCTGAAGGGACCCTCTAGACTTCAGATGCTGAGCTGAAGTTCTTTTCATCTCAGGTTGTTAAGCAGGCTAGTTCAGGCTTCTGGGAGTCCAACCACATCTGCATTGTTGCTGTTCCCCCCTGCTGCCTTAGGTTGATATTGTGTATTGAAGTCTGTGATGGGCAAGTGGCAACTGCCCAGATGCTGTTGGGTGGCACCTCCTATCAGCCCTAGCCAACCTAATCAATGGTGAGGACTGGTGGAGGATGCAGCCCAATAACATCTGGAATGCTGAATTTTGCTCAGTTTTGACCTTGTAGTTATCAGGCTTACTTCCAAGCTTCCTTGTTTCACTCTATCTCTTTCCACTTGGGTGCTGTAGACTTAAAATCCAGCAATAGAATTTGCAAAGGATCTATAATTCAGGCACGCCAACAGTCTCCTCTCTGTAACCTCTTTCCTTTTGTACTTTGGGACACTGTGTACCTCTCATATTACAAAAGCAAACCCCATATTTCTCTTTGACAAGGGAAACAACCCTAGCAGGAAGCCTTGGGCCACTATGTTTCCATAGAACAGCCTATTTCTTGACAACTTCCTGGTTATAAATAGCTATTGCTATATTGGAACAAAGTTACTCAACAGTTCACCCTAATGAATTCATGACACTCCACTGTCCGGTTCTCTTGCTCTTCAGAGAGAATTTCAACAACAGTTAAAAATAATAACCTAGGGCCTTTCTCTTTTTGAATCCTCTTTACGTTACTTCCTGTCTGTCTGCAATAATTTTGGATGCCATTGCTGTTTTCAGAAACTGGAAGGAAAGGATCCTGAGGTCAATTAACACTTATCGCTATTTGTTACCTTTATATATATTTTGTTTTTCATCCCAAGATATGAAGGCAGTTTGCATGGATTCCCTCTTTTTCACTTCATCCTGGCTCCAAGCATGTGAGGCAGGTCCATTTAGAGACTTGACACTGAATCTCAGTCCAACCACGATACCACCCAAGCTTTATTTTTCCAGTCTATATTCAGAGAAAGCTGGCAGATGCTAACATTCACCTTAATCCAATTGCTGGTCCCATCCAGGGTTAACCATATGAATGTTCTCTACAATAGAGATTGACTGCATTAAGCTACACTGTGCTGGTGTTTTTGATATCACCCTTTAGTCTTTAACCCTTTAGAAGTTACACCCAGTAACTTCTCTGAAACAGAATTCCTCCCCTTGGCTGAAAGGGGTCCCGTCCTGGTTGCAGGATTTTAGGAATGAAGGGCAGCCAGCCCCCAGCCCCATGGAAGAAATGAATGGACTTTAGAGCATCATCTGGATGGGAAACCTAAATTTGTCCCTAGCCCCTAATGATCTCTGCCACTGACAACCACTGACTGCCACTTTTTGGATCAATCTTTCGACAAAGTAAGTTTGGAAAGACTTTTGGGTGGAGAGGAAGTGGTGGTTGCCACGTCTGGAGCCTTCTATTCCTTGCCATTTCAGGGCCAACCATGAAATCTGATGGGCTCTTATGCAAAAAAAGTCCAAAATTACACGAGAAAGACAGTGTCGATTTTCTGCACTATGTCTTAGACCGGTGGTTCCCAACCTTAGGTTCCCAGTTGTTCCTGGACTACAACTCCCAGAAATCCTGGCCAGCACAGCTAGTGGCGAAGGCTTCTGGGAGTTTGAGTCCAAGAATATGTGGGGACCCAAGGTTGGGCACCACTGTCCTAAACTAATATTTTGTGTGGAACATAAAAAAACACCTTGGGATGGTAAGCCTTAGGAAAAGATAGGCACCTAATCTGTCAGACACAACAGAACCTTCTCTTTTCCTTATGCTGAGATTTGCCACCCTGGCTTCTGAAAGTTGCTTTCCAAGGCACTTGGGAAGCCCAGCCGTTCCCTCAGACTCCAACTTGTGCCTGGAGACCTGACAATTGTCAAGGGAAAGAAACAAAACTTCTTTTTAGGGGTGATGGGTGTATGAATTTCAGGATCGGGGCAGATGAATTTATCAGTCTTCCCACTGCCACAGAGGGTCCATGACATCTTGCCACCTGAATCCAGGTAGTAAATTGCTCCCTCCTGCTGCCACACCATGGTACCTCAAGGTGGCTAGGTTATTTTGGCACATGAAGCAGAAGGTCCCTTAAGCCGAGCCCCTATGAGCTCTGGCTGTAAAGCCTTAATCATTCCACATGCTGCATAACAGACATACCCCTCGTTTGCTCTACTGGTCCTGCAACCCTCGCTGCCTGCTGCTGTTTTAAAATTACCCAGAATGCCTTGCAGAAAAGTTATATGAGGCCCAGGAGCATTCTGGGGGAAAGTAGTTCCTCCCCCTGATGGCCTTTGGTCTGCATTGCCCCATTTGGGATTCAACGTTGGATGTCTGCTGCCACTGAAGTTACACTTTGAAGACCAATACAAGGGAGTTTCCATACGGGACTTCTTTTTAATGATGATAAATTAGGCATTCAAAAAGCTAGCAGGCTCTTACCACGATTGCTTTTAATGTAAAACAAGGAGTGTTGAAAGTTTAAAACAGGGGTGGGGTGGGGATTTCCCCACTCCTTCTCATTACCAATAAACATTTGAAAAGCATAAAGTATTTACATTTCAATAAAATTAAGTGACAGGTGCCACATTCTATCATAGTCTTTATTGGGAAGTGTAGTAAAATTGCACACAAGGAGGTCATAAAAAGAGATGGGGGAAAGGGAGGAAAATCACTACGATCAAAAGACAAGATTCTGGATTTATTTTGTTTGGATGGATCACAGGGAATGGAGAGATCAGAGACCCCCGTTTACCCTTGCTTTTGATTGGTAAGAGTAAAAAGTTGGCAGAGAACCAAAATACCCAAAGAATCAGATGCATCAAGAAGAATGCGACTGACCATCCTCTGTTGCCATTCAAAGGAAGCATCCTCCATAATAACAGTAGAAACCAGTCTTTAGAAACATAGAACTGTGTTGATTACAGGAAGCCTCTGATCCAAAGTACTAAGCCAGGGAGGTCCTTTCTCTTGTGGTCCACCAACGTTGTGACAATCCAAGGTGGTTCTCTAGTGTTTGATTCCAACATGGAAGGCTGGGTCCCTAGGCCAGTGCCAATGCACACCACGAGTCTTGGCGAAGGGGAACACTGAGTCCTGAGGGCTGGGGCATGGAGGGCGAAGAGAAGGGGTAATCCTCCGGCTCGTACTTGAACTGGGTATGGCTGTCGGCCAACACTTCTTCAGACGGGCTTGGACCCTATGAAGAGCGACAGTCAAGACAAGAATAATGAAAAATGCTTCTAGGGCTTTCAACTGGTTTAAATCCCTCTAGTGACTGACAATATACGGCTGGTCAGCGGCTTAATTCAAGATCTGGACTTCTATATAGTCATACTCTTTGCAGCTTTGGGATACACAGATCCCCACCCGCAGCTTGGAAAAAAATTATCTTCAACTTTCCTACAGTATTTCGAGAAATGCTGTGCAAAAAAGTAGCATTATCAGGCTTGATCCTTCTCTCTCTTGATGGCCTCCCTGTATCCAGTTTTACTTTAACTTTTGCTGTCTTTTTTTTAAAAAAAGGCTTCCCCTCTTCTTATTCTGCTCCACACCCATGTGAACCTGTCCAGGTCTTAAGATAAGCCAGATCATGTATCCACCAGAAGGATTTTTAAGCCAGCTGGCGCAAGAGAGGGGGGCCTTTTCTGTGGTGACCCAGACTTACTGAATGTCCTCATGCTGGCTTCCTTCTCTGTTTTAAATAAGGCTTAGAAATCTTAGCTGTTCCAGACTGCTTTTACTTTAATGTTAAGTCTTTTATGCAGTCATTTTCACTGCTTAGGTTCTTTTAAAAGTTTTGTGTTCAGTGCACTAAATTGTATGCAGAACTTGGAAATATTGTATTACATTATATTTCTATACTCCACCATCTAGTTGCATGCCATTACTCTGAAAAAAAGAAAAGCATAGCATAAATACAAAATAAGAAATTACTTTTAAAATAGTTACTTTTGGGATAACAAGACAAATGGAGAGATGCATCTAAGGAACATGGTTTTAAACTAACATTTGCAACACATTAATGTTACTTTGAAATGTTATTTTAAAAAAGATTACATGTATTCTTCTTGCCTTACATTAATCAGAGATTTTAATTTTAACATGTGGTCAATATGACCAGATAGGCGGGGTATAAATGGAATGAATGAATGAATGAATGAATGAATGAATGAATGAATGAATGAATGAATGAATGAATAAATAAATAAATAAATAAATAAATAAATGTCAAATCTGGCCCACTATTTTAAGTTCTGATTTTATTTTACTGACTTATAAGAACCCTCTGGGAGGTACAGTCCTGCTGAGCCCACCTAATTACAGATCACTGATACTCTGGCTAGCAAAATCAAGCGCAAAATGTCCATCGTACCACCTTACCCATGGCCCATGGTTGAGTTACCACAGGCTGCTTTAACTGCATGAGGGGAGGACAAATCAAATATAAATGCCCCCTCCCCATGTATTGATGTCTCTGGAATATTTTACCTGGGAAGCAGAGACTATTGGCTGCCCCACGTACTGCGCAGTTACAGCGGGTTCCGTTTTTAAAGTGACGGTGCTTTCAGAATTGGTAATGGAAGAAGGTGAATTAGTGGTTGAAGTTGCAGACCCTGAAAGAGAGAATGGTGTAAGAAAGGATACATTAATGTATGCATGAGGCACATCACATTATGGTCACCCTTTGCTAACACTCCCCACAAGATCTGTTCACATTTCCATTACTTTCAGTAGTTCTCACAGCCATGCATACCCCCTCCAAGACTTAACATCATTCCATTTATTTCTGTCCTACGGTGAATCTCAACAGTCAGTGCTTATGGATATATTTTTTTAACCCATAACTCCTAGAATCCTTAGTAGCCATGTTGGGAGGGGGATTCTGGGAGTTGAAAGTTTAAAAAGTAACTTTCCCTTGCATTCCAAGCTCTGTTAATTATTTCATTACATGCTGTCAATTCAAAACCTAACAGGACCTTCATAGTAAGTGAGATATTTAAGGAGTTGTGTTACCAGCTTGACTCCCCCGATGAGTTCCCATTACCAAGTAGGAATTCGAACCCTGATCTCCAGAGTCCTGGACCATTCACTCTATCTGCGACACCAGAGCTTCTCAAACTGGGATCCCCAGATGTTCTTGGACTGCAATTCCCAGAAGCCTTCACCACTTGCTGTGCTGGCCAGGATTTCTGGGAGTTGTAGCCCAAGAACATCTGGGGACCCAAGTTAGAGAACCACTGGAGTACACCACAACTGGACACCACTCTTGATTAACAGTGAATCCCATTCTCCATGAGCCAGTTCTTAAGTAGGCAAACCCATATACAAGAAGGGTCAACAAGCTTCAAGGTTTACAAGTACAAAACCTTATTTAAAAAAAAAGACCCTAAAGGGAGGGTATATAAAAAAATAACCACAGGACGCAGACATAGAAATGAAGTTCTGGGTGAGTTAACATCTTTATCAAACCAGTACAAAATACAAATACTGTAGGTTTTTTTGAATTCTCCAGAACTCTTTAGGGAAACATGGGACAAGAGTTGAGGTGAAGCCAAATACCCCCAAAATTGGGTGAGACGTGATCCCTGTGACTCTTAAAATAAGAGGGCAAGGGAAGAGAAATCCCCTTACAGGCAGTGAGCTTTTTCAATAGCCAAGGAATACTGACTGAGGAATGGGGAGGGGGGAAAATGAACAAAAATCAACTTGGTAGTGATGGGAGAACAATCCTGTAATACCCTATGATGTCCTTATTATCATGCAGTAAGGCAAGGATCGCTGAAACCTTGACAAGGAACCCTTCCTGACATGCAGCAGTTTATGTTATCTGATGTGTTTAGATACTAATTGTCTGCCAAGTCACCAATGGCCATTCACAATGATAAAATATCCTCCACCATTCACAGGAAAGGGGGAGGTACCAGGGGATGTATCAGGGTGTACCTTATAGCATGGGTTGATATCCCATTAAAACTTGCATCCATTGCTGCCTTGCCTACACCAAACATGGCATGGATGGAGTTCCCCCACACCCAGGCCTGATCCTCCTGCTGCAGCCTATGGAAAGATTACTGCCAACCCAGTGGGAATGGGTACAGATGGGTGTCCAGCCTTAAAAGCCATCTCTGAGACAGAACTAAAATGTCTGCCAACCTCATAAAATGAAGGTTGCCCTGACACTGATCATTCCGTCTGGAGCACCGGAGAATCAGAACAAGACTCCAGACAGCACCTTGAGGCCTGGCAACCTTAACTTCTGGCCTAAATTATTCTTTTTTGTCTCTTCCAGCCAAGCCAAAAGTTTCTTGAGGCCCTCAAGGTTGACATGCAAGGACTTTTAGTGGAGACAATCACACGGCCGACTTCGACACTCAAGTCCCCTGTCTTCTCCATGCCTGGAAGGTAGTACTTTACGGTAGCTGGGAGGCAGAACAATTTCCCCCCCAAGCAACCTGATATTGTTGCAAGCTGTCCTTGCTTGAATGTGAATTGCTGGGCTTGGCTTGATTCTGAACCAACAATTAAGAGCCGTTAGCTTTACCAAAGACCCTTCTCTTCATTTCGCCTGCCCATCTCGTGTTATCTCCCTTGTATAAAGATGTAGACTGCCAGTATCTTGTGGCATCTCCTTGCGTACCCTTGAAAAGCACCATCCACACTTGACAACACAACAACAACAACTACAATGATTACTACCTGTTGAGGATTTGCCTTTGTTGATATTTTTTGGTTTCCTCTTCCTTGTCTGGATGCTTTCCTTTTTCATTGCCAGAGGCCTTGGTACCTTGATATCAAAGAGGATAAAAATAATTTGTACTTGGTTAGACCTGTATTTCTTGCCTACATGCATGCATATAATTGCCCAAAAAATAGACACTGTGCTTGTGCAATATACATGGTGTCCTTGTCCTTCATAGGAACTATTTTTCTCATTGGCAGTCCTTGGCCATGTTGATGTTTAAGCTGCAATACGCAGAGAACTTTCCGACATATTTTTTCATTTTATTATCCCTGTTTCCCAGCCTAAAAGGTGGGATAGCCATAGGCAAAAGCTCTCACGCTCGTGAGAACAAAGATAGCTTCGTGATCTCAAAATCTTGAGAGGCCTGAGCATCACTCTAAAAGGAAGGCATTATGATGTAATGTAAAGCAAAGTGGCACCCTCTTATGGAATGCTCTCCCTGCAGAATCATAGCAGGCACCTTCCCTTAAAGCCTTTAAAAAGTTCCAGAACTTTTTAAAGAAGCTTTTCAGGAGGTTCTCCTCAGTTAATTGGGACAAATGAAGAAGAAGGACAGAATTATTGTTCCTTCTCTTGTTTATTTGTAATGATGGCTTCAGTGTTTTATAGCTGATTTCATAATTTATGTTGTCTTTATATATTTTTATTGTTGAATGCCCAGAGTGGAGATTTTGTTAGATGGGTAGTACAGAAATTGAATGAATGAATGAATGAATGAATGAATGAATGAATGA